TTGGCATATTAAATAAAATGAAAAAAGCAAGTAATAGAGGCATTAATACTGAAATGCATAAAATATAAAAGTATATTAAAAATAATCAGAGGAACAGGAATGTTTCGGTTCATTAAGCCGCATATAATCCTGTTGAGCACCACAACTGGACCTCGTGCGTTGTAAATCGATTAAAATAATGGTAATAAAAAATTTCATCTGATTTATATTTCGCGACAAGTGCTGCTGTCATCCGTGCTACGCAGTATGTTGGATGCAACATCGAGTTTAGTACAGTCTGTTAGTAGGTTATGTTTTTCAGCCGAATTGTTGAAATAAAAAGAATTTCAGGAGCCATGAGAATGCCTTTCCGATTCCAATTGCCTTAGCGATGCTCATCCTCTGGATTGGTCTTTCAGCAGCCCTGTTCTGCTTGTACGAGCAGGAATGGGGATATCTCACCTCTGTCTACTTTTTCTTCGTTTCGATAAGGTCAGCCACACATTGCTAAGTATTGCATTAATCCTAAACAAGAAGTATTTATCATGTGGGCCTGAAAATCTTAATTGTTTTCTGTTGCTAATACAGTGCACCGGATTATAATTCGAAACCGCAGCTCAACGGAAGCGGTTACAAAAAGGCCGACGAAATCAGAAAGTCTACTGCAATGTGTGAGGGACATGATTTTCTCTCTTAAACTTAATCCTTGAGGCATGAAATGTTCACCTGCAGTCGGGATGGTGGGTTTTCAATAGAGCTGCTAAAGCTGGGAATGGCCTCGGAGAAAAAGCACAGTACCAGGTCCCCTCCCCTTCAGAATACAAAGCTAAAATTGGTATTACTGTCAAGACTTTATTTTAATTTAGATTCGTGATAGTAATAAGAGTACTTATTACTGGGATAAATTAATGAAGAAAAAATGTTCCATAATGTAAAAAATTTCCAAAGTTTGTCATGACAAAATTTTTTTGGCCTCTTTCTGTAACCTTTCCCTTTTCCGTCCCGTTCTTTCTCTCTCTGTCCCTTTTTTATAAAAATCCTAACAGTGGTACGGGAAATTCTGTAACTGCATTCACCGTCTAGCTGTTCCACCACTGGTTTTTTTCTTCTGAGATTTCTTTAAAGGGGGTAAGCTTTTTTTTTCAAAAATGCCAGGAATATTCGTGTGTTTGAGATGGAAAAAAGACGTAGTTATAAGGAAGTAAGGTACTTGAAGGAGTTTTCGGCCAGCGTTTGCTCCTCTCCTCGTCTGAGTAAAGAGCAATTCGGCAGACCATTTTTTTTATCCACGTATGCATAAGTTACCGCAGTCATCTGTACACAGCTTTTTGCAAATGGCCAGAAAAAAGAGGCAATTTTTGCAAAAACTATAAAACATTGCTATCTTACCAGGTTTTTACTAGATTTTCAGATTAAATTGGAAGTGTTTTGTCGATGAGGGTGTGAATAAATTCTTTCAGTCCGTGAATTACAAAGCCGTTATAATGTAAATTCATGAATAGCCCTCATGGTTCTTTTTGTAATGAAGCTACAAGGGTTTAAAATCCCATAGGGTGCGTGAAATCGTTGCAAATTTTTGAAATAAATAACACTTTGACTATAAAATTTTTCCATCCTGACTACAAAACATTCCGTTTTTTCTTTTCTTTTTTTTACAGTATGTCATGCAACAAAATCACTTCAGCAAATTGCAGTACGGTTGGGCTGGGCGATATTGTACCGGGTAACAAAGATATGATGCTCGGATATTTCCTTTTGATACTTATCGGACTTGCTTTACTCTCAATGTGCATTAATCTCATTCAAGTTAGTTATTTTCTCTCTTACGTGTTTTTATTTCCCGGCCTGTTGCTGCAAGAAAAATGGTTTTTTTTTTTTTGAAAAATATACAAAAAGGCTGTAAGTCAAAATATCTTGGGTACAGTTTACTCAGTAATTACTTCCGCATAAGAAAATCTTTCAGCTTTTTTAAACCTCAGTGTTGCCTATAGGAAATTCCTCAATCGCCATTGCTTGTGATTTGAGTAACTGTTGTTGTTTTCATTCCGACTGAAAGAAGAGAGGACAGATTTGAGCAAGTGGACACGATAGCTTGTGGAAACGACAGCCCCAAATCTGCAAAAATTTGGGTGTGCGTAACTTTCCCATGCATGTTTATATTTTCTCTTGATTGTATTTTGCGCTTCTAGTTTGAGGATCAGCCACTGCTCAAGTTGTAATTTTTCAGGTAGTTTTAGAGCGAATTCTTGGGCAGTTATTGCAGGAGTACATCGATGAAATTGAACGGGTAGCCGCAATAGCTAAAAATGAAGTGGATTTCAGAACTGAAGGAGCTCCATTTGAAATGGGGATGGCTAGTAAGCTTTTTTTTTTTTTTGTTAAATCACGACCTGATTTTGGTAATCTTGTACGTGCTAAGAATACTAGGACTGTTCAGACAATTAGTCTGGGTTCCGATATTCGTGATGTTCCGGAAATGCTCGCAAACACCAGACGTAACTATGCCAGGCGCTTTAATCCTGCGTGCCTCTAGCTAGTAACTCCTGTTCGATACCTGCGTTACCTCTGTAGGGTTTGACCGAGTGGTTTTGTTTTGCTCCCTCGCGGGTAGTACGTCATAAATACATGAAGGAAGCTTTGAATAACTGGCGCACGTACTTAATGCATTTGTTAGATGTTTGTTGAAAGCATTCACTTTCGTGAAACAGCGACTTGGTGCTGTTGCTGATGTTCATACAGATGCTTGCCAGCAACACCACTGACATCGGATGTAAACATCAACTGTTCGGATGAACTTGCTCAAATTCAACCAGCTTTTTTCATGAATTTCTGCGAAAAATGAAGTAGGAACTGTGCTGTCCTCAATGTTCAAAAAATTTGCCGATCGCGTTTTCTGAAAATTTTTTGGAGCAGCGCATCAGAACGGTCACAATCGTCCGTTCAACCATCTGCATGCTCGCTGTTATGGCCGACTTGACCACAGTCCAATAAAAGTTTCGACCTCATGCAGCAAATTCTTGTTGGTTACGCATATGGTGTGCTGGGCAGGCGAAGAAATTTGAAGAGCTGGAATCAAAATTCGCTTAAATTTCAAAGATTGAATTTTCGGTATTTTCGACTGCACGAGTTCCTTTTATTACAGATGCAATGTTTTTGCCTTTTGCCAATGCGCAGTTGGGATTCCTGACTTGAAAATGTCTGCTAATACATTCCGTAAGCTGAACAAATTGGATTTCTCGGCTGCTGCTGCTGCT